CATTTACCATATACCAATGAACCCCACACTACCACTCAAAACTAACAACCTTGCTTTGATTTTGATTTGACCAGTCTTGTCTTTGCCAAATGTAGGGTATATGATTTGCTTCTATAACCATGGTTAAAATCCATATATACCCACAGATGGTCTTCTCCAGGGTTTTGCTTGATTGAACCCTACAACCAAGAAAAACCAATTTCTTTGGGCAATCTCCTTTTTACCTGCACAAGCTTCGGCATGGGTATCATAAACAACATCGCTTATGAACAATGGTGTGTAATCAATCGCCCTCATCATCTCCAAAATCTCCCTACAATTAAATATCGTAAAAACATATAAGGTTTAGTCATTCAAGAATTATGGTACAATAATGTAACTATCAAACAACAAACAAATGGAGTACTTACCGAATTACTCATAATAAACTACGAAGGAAATATCCTTAATGAAACTTGTTCTGTAAAATTCGTAGGTCTTACTTCCTCTATTTATAGAGGTTGCAAAAACATGAAACTAACATTTTAGGAATAGAAACACAAATCCTACAGTAACCAGGAAACATAATACAATTTTAACAAGGATACAACTAATAATTAATCTTCTAAATGAAAAAATTAAATAAATGAGATGTCCTTTTTCTTTGAGAAATTATTTTATTTTGTTAATTATTGTCCAACCAGACCAAATATAAACATCCAACCAGACTAGCCCAATCCAACCGATTCTTGCACTTTCAACCAGACTTGACCCGGCGGGGCGCTCCTTCTTCGTTTTCACCATCAATCGGCAAAAGCAGAGACCTATGAACTCGATTGCAGCACCGAGCAGGCGTGGCGAGGAATCCCTTCCAGGGCTAACAACGACGATGATTTCTAGAGCGACGATGATGATTTCAGCGATGATTGACGGCTCCGCGAGGAATCCATTCCAAGGCAAACGACGATGATGGTTTCTAGGGAGACGACGATGATTTCAAAAGTGGCGGAAGGCTCCACGAGGAATCCCTTCTAGGGCGAACATCGACGATGATTTCATTTCCTTGAGCGACGACTGTTGGCTCCGCGAGGAATCCCTTCCAGGGCGAACGACGACGATGATTTCTAGGGCGACGTTGATCCGATAGCTGATGGCTGCGCATAGCAAATTATGGTTAAGACGATTGCTGACATTTTGGGATTAGGGCGAGCGTTTTTGGGAATTTGGTTAGAGATTATGAATTTTTGGGAGGAAAAAACTTCAACTTGCCTAAAATGGGGAGACAAATTTAAAAAGTTAGGGCGTTAATTAGTACATCTCTATCAATTCAGTCTAGCCATGTGAATAGGCCACATTTCTACACGTGGTAGAATATTGTTGATTGTTATTATATTTTTTTCACCATAATAGACTGTACATATTGAATGTATCGTTTGGACGTATCATAATTCGACATCCATCAATTATAAAAAATGATACTACTTTTTCTCTAATATAATTTCACTTTTTTTTTCTTTTCTTTTTAACTTTTTGACCTTGTGCCTTTTTTCCCCTAGCTTCCAGCATAATTATTAAAAACTATGTCTTTACCTTTACTTAACGAAAATTGCGCAATTTTATTTACTTGGTTTTCCTTGTTTTTTTTAACTCATTTCATTTTCATCCATTCAATTTATCAATTAGGTTGTATCTTTTTCATTTAAATTTAAATTTCAAAAAATTGTATACAAAAACAAATCATGTATGATCAACAAAATAATATTCATTTGCAGCCGATGCACTAAAGCAACCTTCACCAGTCACTTTTGCAGCTGAGATCAGATTGGCAAAAGAAGTTAAAGAACTTAGGGAGGCTGAGGAATCTTTCTTTCGTCAGAAGTCAAGAGAAATCTGGCTAAAGGAAGGAGATTCCAACACGCCATACTTTCATAACTCAGTTAAGAGTAGACAGAAGAGGAATATGATTAGGTCTTTATTGGATGATAATGGCCAAAGAGTTATTGATACTGATGGGATGACAACGATAGCTGAAGGTTTCTATAAGAAACTGTTGGGTGAGAAGGATAAAGATGTGGTGATTCCTGATGTTGAAAAGATTTCCAGTATTCTGATGAAAAAGTTGTCTCTGTGTCAGGTTGATGAGTTGTGTAGACCTGTCACTGCTGAGGAAATTCGATCTACTATGTTTGGATTTAATGGTGAGAAGGCCCCTGGCCCTGATAGCTTCCCTGCTTGTTTCTTTCAGGCTGCATGGAGTATCATTGGGGTCGAGGTAACAAATGTTATCCTCTACCGTTTTCATGTCTCTAGTATACCTGTTAGTATCAATTCCACCCTCCTGGCTCTCATACCTAAGGGCCAAAACCCTGAGGATATGAAGTTCTTTAGACCAATTTCTTGTTGTAATATCCTTTATAAGTGTATGGCAAAAATCCTGGCTACAAGGTTAAGCTCTGTCATTCCTAGTATTATAAGTGAGTTTCAGACAGCTTTTGTCAAGGGTAGAGTTATAGGTGAAAACATTTTGCTTGCTCATGAACTGGTCCTGAAATATGGTAGGAAGAATATATCCCCTAGATCATTAATAAAAGCCTTTGATTCTATCGATTGGGGGTTTCTGTTTACTGTTCTGAAAGCTATGAGGATTCCTACTAGGTTCTTATCTTGGTTGAGAATGTGTGTGACAACTCCGAAGCTTAGTGTTGGATTTAATGGAGGCTCATTTGGCTATTTTTCAGCTAAGAAGGGTCTGAGACCAGGTGATCCCCTCTCCCCTTATTTGTTTGTTGTTTCAATTGAAATTCTTTCCTATCTTATGAATGAAGCAGTTAAGCAGAATAGTATGCCACCCTATGTGTAAGAGGCTCAATCTTACTCACCTTATGTTTGCTGATGATTTACTGCTTTTCTCGGATGGATCCAATTTTGGAATACAATGTATTCAAAAAGTGCTGGCAGTGTTTAGAACTATGTCAGGTCTTTAGTCGAATCCAACAAAGTGTGAGTTATATTGTGGGGGAATTAGTGAGCACTGGCAAAAGGTTATGGCTGAGTTCTCTGGTTATAAGCTGGGGGCTCTCCCTGTCTAATATCTAGGCCTCCCCTTGCTGGCAGGAAAGCTCACAATTAGAGCTTGTGCTCCTCTGATTGATAGAGTCACAAGGAGGATTGCCAGTTGAAAGTCAAAACTCTATCCTACGCTGGTAAATTTCAGTTGGTAATGTCTGTGTTGTATAGCCTTACCCAGTTTTGGATGTCTATCTTCATCTTGACCAAAGTTGTTATAAGATCTACTGAGAAGCTCTTCAGTGATTTTCTATGGTTGTGGGGGATGGAGCTAGGAAGAAGGCAGTGGTTGTTTGGTCAAGGATCACTTACCCTAAAAAAGAGGATGGTTTAGGTCTTAGGGATATGAGTTCATGGTACTTTGCTTGTGTAACGAGCCAAATTTGGGATATCCTTATGAAGCAGGGGTCTCTCTTTGTTGCCTGGATATGGGAATACAAAATTAAGAGAGGTAGTTTCGGGGATGTAACTGCAAAGGCAGGGTCTTGGCTATGGCTCAAGTTGCTCAAGAACATAGACAAGTTAAGGATTTGGCTATATGATGATGCTGAGGGAGTGTACTGAAAACGGGACCCTCTGACAAAGTTTAGTATCAAGAAGATTTGGGAGGAAGTTAGACCTAAAAGCAGGCCTGTGACCTGGAATGCTTTAATCTGGAAAGGGTCTTGCATCCCAAAAAATCAGTTTCTTGTGTGGCTTGTGGTCAGTGATTACATTGTAGCAGGGGATAAAATTCAAGGTTGGGGAGATGCTGGGAGCTTTGGATGTGTTTTCTATCCTTGTCCTCTAGAGACAAGGTCTCACCTATTTGCAAAATGTAGAGTGTATAGACAAGTATTTGCTGCTTTGTTTGCTAATTTCACAGGTCGAATTCCTGGAAATCAATGGTCTGGTGAACTTGCCTGGGCATCGCTGTAGTTTCAAAAGCAGACTGATGCTGCTATGGCAGGGAGGATTATCGGGCAGGCCCTGATTGCCACAGTCTGGAGGGGAAGATGCAAGGTCAAATATGGAGGGAAGGTGCTTGATTTGAGCTGATAGTTATTCTTGATCCTATCTTAATAGAGCTATTTTTTCTTGGTTTATAGGCTTTGTAGTTAGCCTTGTTCCCCTTTGACCTTTAGTGTCAACATAGTAACTCTGCAGTATGCTTTTTTAGTCTGGATGCTCAATTGGCAGAGCTTGTTACCAGCAAAGTTTTGATTGCCTTTTGATGAAATGAAAGTCTCAACCAATTCATAAAAAAAAATATATATATTCATTTGTATATATATTTTGGTATAATATTTTCCAATCATGTATACCACCATGATATATGACACCACAATCAATGTATTTTTTATTTCGAATATGAGAGTGATAAATGTAATTTTTGGAACCTCAAAGTTCATGTTGCAATATGTCACTGGGTGGATCACTCTCAACCTATCTGTGCCTTGGAGCACAAGAAATGAAGAGTGTTACTGGAGAAACAGAGAAAACAGAGAAAGCTTGCATGAAAGAGATGAAGATGAAGATGGAACCAACTAAAAGATATTTTGGACTGTCTGCAACTTTGGATTGAAGCTAAGGATGTTGAGGGACCACTGTGAAGGGCATGTTTGCTAATGCCTCTTCTTGTTTTGTTTATAGGGAACATTGAAAGTGACTCTTGTACTTGGTTTTGTCTTTAAGCTTTTGTTTGTTTTAGTAGTTGCAGATCAACCTAGGGTTTGTTGTTGAGCCCTTAAAAGGTTGATGCCTCTTCCTTTTGGTGTACTGTGTGAGAACAGATCGAAAACGAAATGGAAAAGTAGTTTTGATGCACTGAAGCTCAGCCACTGTTTGTGTTCAAAACTGTTCTTCTACCATTCTATTTTTTCTGGTTTTACACTGTTACATTGCATTTCCGCAGTTTGTGTTGCTGGAAATTACAAACATTGTGTATAAACTACACGTGGTATCAGAGCCCTCTTGATCTTTGAATGGGATTGTGAGGTTTTTTCTTCGGAGTGAATCAGTGAGGCTTTGTGAGGGTTGAGTGTTCTTCTTCTTTTTCTTGACCTCTGCCAGTTGCAAGTTACTCAGAAATGACTTCAACTGCCTCTCTCTGACCTCACTCCCAGTTTTCAATGGTAAAAACTACCAGATCTGGGTTGTTAAGATGAAGTCATTCATGCAAGGGAATGACATCTGGGAGCCTGTGAATGGAAGAGTGGTGGATCCACTTCCAGCAAATGCTTCTCTAAATCAGCAAACCAGATATGCTGAAGAGGTAGCTAAAACCCACAGAGCTCTTACCTGCATCCATGCTGCAGTTACTGAGGAAGTCTTCACAAGAATCATGACTTGCACAACAGCAAAGGAAGCTTGGGACAAACTTCAAGAAGAGTACCAAGGGTCTGATAGAGGTAAGCAAATGCAAGTTCTGAATCTGAGAAGAGAGTTTGAAAGTCTGAGAATGAAAGCAAGTGAAAGTATCAAGGACTATCTGGATAGAATCATGAAAAATGTGAATCAACTAACGCTACTTGGTGAGACTTTTGATGATTCTAGGGTTGTTGAGAAGATCTTAGTCACTGTGCCTGAAAAATTTGAGGCTAAGATCTCAACTCTGGAAGATACTCAAGATCTGTCTACACTGAGCATAACTCAACTGATCAACTCTTTGCAAGCAACTGAGTTGAGGAGTTCCATCATAAATGATGACAACTCAGAAGAAGCTTTGGTTGTAAGACAACAAAAGGCAAAAGGGCAAACTTCTGGAGTCAAGAAAACTCCTAGAAAGAAGAAAAAGGGTAAGGAGGAGCAGACTGAAAAACCAACTGAGAAGAAGGTCTATCCTCCTTGTCCCATCTGTAAGAAAACTAATCATACTGAGAACTACTATTGGTATAGACCTAATGTGCACTGCAGGTCATGTAAAAGACTAGGTCACGTTGAAAAGGTCTGCAAAAACAAGAGTATCAGGGAACAAGTGGCTGTTGCAGAAGCCAATGAACAGAACAAGCAAGAAGGGATGTTTATGGTTACCTGTTTCACAGCTACAAGCAGCAGTGAGGACTAGCTTCTGGATACTGGTTGTACAAATCATATGACCAACAATGAGGAGTATTTTCTTGATCTGGACAAGTCCTACAAGTCTAAAGTAAAGATTGGAAATGGTACTCTACTATCTGTTGAAGGTAAAGGATCAGTTTCAGTGCAAACTGCCTTTGGACTTAAGGTAATCCCAGAAGTTTTATTTGTTCCTGCTCTAGCGAAGAACTTGCTTAGTGTAGGACAAATGCTTGAAAAGGGTTACTCTTTGGAAATGCAAAACAAGTCTTGTGTTGTGTATGATTCAAAGGGAGATAAACTGTTTGATCTCTCTATGATTCAAAGGAGTTTTGCTCTGAAATGAAAACTGCCAACATGGCTGTAGTGACTAGAAATGATCAATCTGCTTTGTGCAACAGTAGACTAGGTCATTTCAGTCAACATACTATGATTAAAATGGCTCAAGAGGGTTTGGTAAAGGATTTACCTACTCTTGAGTTGAATGAAGGTGCGTGTGTAATCTGCCAGCTTGGAAAACAACACAGGTTGCCCTTTCCTAAGAAACACACTTGGAGAGCTCCTGTGAAGCTTGGATTGATTCACACTGATACATGTGGACCTTTCAAGATGGAATCTTGGGGTGGAAGTAGATATTTCTTGTTATTCATTGATGACTTGACAAGATACTGCTGGGTCTATTTCCTAAAGAACAAGTCTGAAGCTCTTCCCAAATTCCAGAAATTTAAGCCTATGGTTGAAAATCAAAGCAATGAAAGGATTAAAACTTTGAGATCTGACAATGGGAAAGAATACACCTCTCTAGTCTTTGAGAAGCTGCTGGCTTCAGAGGGTGTACTTCATCAGCTCACAGTCAGGTATACTCCACAGCAAAATGGAGTAATTGAAAGAAAGAACAGGACAATTATGGAAATGGCTAGATGCCTGTTATTTGAGAAGAATGTTCCTAAGAAGTTCTGGGCTGAAGCTGTGAACACTTCAGTCTACCTGCTCAATAGGTTAACAACAAGGTCAGTTAAAGGGATGACTCCCTATGAGGCTTGGAATGGATTCAAACCAAGTCTATTTCATCTTAGGACCTTTGGATCTGTGTGTTATTCTCATGTTCCAGCTCCAAAAAGGGACAAACTTGATCACAGGTCTGAAATGGGAATTCTAGTGGGCTACTGTACTGAGTCTAAGGCCTACAGGATCTTCAATCCAACAACTGAGAAGTTCCAATTGAGCACGGATGTCATTTTTTATGAGAAGGCCACTCATGATTGGTCATCTCCTCAAAATGAAACTAAAGACATCTATGATCTGGTGACAGTTCAATTTCAAGATCACCAAGATGTAGATGATGAGCCAGAACCTCAGTCTGATGAAGACCATGTTCTTGAGAAAGATCAACCTGAGGATTTGGAGTCTGAAGAAGATGATCAGAGTGATCATGATAACTTTGATCACACGCCTGTAGGAGGCATGAGTACATTGGCCAATGTGTATGAAAGTTGCAACATGGCCATTGAAGAACCTGAGGCTGTTCAGGAAGCTCTGAAGCATGAAGGCTGGAACTCATCCATGAAAGAAGAATGCAGAATGATTGACAAAAATGAAACTTGGATTCTAGTTAAAAGGCATGTTGGAAGAAAAGTGATAGTAACTAAATGGGTTTACATGATTAAATAAAACTCAGATGGTTCATTCAACAAGTTCAAAGCAAGAGTTATGGTTAAAGGGTATGCTCAGCAGTCTGGTATTGACTATGGTGAAACTTTTGCACCAGTGGCAAGGCTAGATACTATAAGACTCCTACTGGCTATTGCTGCTCAGAAGAACTGAAAAGTGCATCAGCTAGATGTGAAATCTGCTTTTCTGAATGGTTATTTACAGGAGGAGATATATGTTGAGCATCCTGAAGGCTTTGAGATTCCAGGGAAAGAAGATCATGTCTACCTACTGAAGAAAGCTCTCTATGGACTAAAACAAGCTCGAAGAGCCTGGTATTCCAGAATTGATGATTATCTTGTAAGATTGGGGTTTGCTAAGAGTCCAAGTGAACCAACCCTCTATGTGAGAACTAATGAGGTTGGAACTGTGATGATTTCTCTGTATGTGGATGATCTTCTGATCATAGGAAGCAATGTGAAGCAGATAGAAGGCTTCAAAACCAGCATGATGAATGAATTTGAGATGACTGATCTAGGTTTGATGACTTACTTTCTTGGCATTCAAGTTGAGCAGCCTGAGAAAGGCATTTTCATATGCCAGAAGAAGTATGCAAATGAAGTTTTAAAAAGGTTTGGAATGGAGAATGCCAAGGCTGCTGCTACACCACTTCCAGTGAGAATTCAATTGACAAAAGAAGATGGATCAGGTTCATTTGAACCTAAGGTCTACAGGAGTTTGATTGGAAGCCTGCTGTATCTTTCTGCAACCAGACCAGACATAATGTTTGCCTCTGGTTTGCTAGCAAGGTTTATGCAATCTCCAACTCAAATCCACTACAACACAGCTAAAAGACTGCTAAGGTACATCAAAGGTACCACTGATCTTGGTTTGAAGTTTGAAGGAGGTAAGGAAGTGTGTTTGGAAGGTTTTTGTGATAGTGATTGGGCAGGATCTTCTGAAGACATGAAAAGCACCTCTGGCTTTGCCTTCTCACTAGGATCTGCAATCTTTTGCTGGAGTTCAAAGAAACAAAGCATTGTAGCTCAGTCAACTACTGAAGCTGAGTACATTGCTGGTTCAGAAACTGTCAACCATGTTGTTTGGTTGAGGAAAATCATGGCAGATTTGGGTTTTGAGCAAACTAAACCGACTGTCATTTGGTGTGATAATCAGTCTGCTGTGGCCATGACTAAAAATGAAGAGTGCTGCTGGAGAAACAGAGAAAACAGAGAAATGCACGAAAGAGATGAAGATGAAGATGGAACCAGCTGGAAGATGTTTTGGACTGTCTGCAACTTTGGATTGAAGCTAAGGATGTTGAGGGACCACTGTGAAGGGCATGTTTGCCAATGCCTCTTCTTGTTTTGTTTCTAGGGAACATTGAAAGTGACTCTTGTACTTGGTTTTGTCTTTAAGGTTTGTTTGTTTGTTTTAGTAGTTGCAGATCAACCTAGGGTTTGTTGTTGAGCCCTTAAAAGGTTAATGGCTCTTCCTTTTGGTGTAGTGTGTGAGAACAGATCGAAAAACGAAATGGAAAAGTGGATCTGATGCACTGAAGCTGATGACTCGATATTTGCACATGTTTTCCCTTTTGTTTCTTGATCGTTTAAGCTTGCATTATCGCTTCTTTGGCCTATTTTATGCTAGGTTGTGTTCCTTTGTCACATTTCAGGTCCTAGCACATAAAGTGAAGCGTAGGCGCAAGTTTCAAGTCAATCGGAGATAAATTGGCGACTCGGGGGAAGAAACTCGGGTATGGCTTGAAGAAGAATGGATTTATACCTCAGTTTGTGACCATATAATCATGTAATCTTGTCATGAGAAGAAAGAGGACGAGACTACGAGCGTCTAGGATCAAACAACACATGATTTGGAATCCGAACGAGGGAGAAACGAAGAATCAAAGTTAGCTGAAAATTGGTTTCGGGCTTCTCTGAGAAACAGAAGGGGGCCCTATCGTGACGCTAAAATCCCCGGTAGGAGATTTTTGGCCTTGACCGGGGATTTTCCCCTGTCCCCAACGGTGCGTTTTAAAGATACCCGGTCTCCACCTAAAATACCCGACCGGGTATTATGACCGGGGATCGCGAACGCAGACTGTTAAAAGCCTGTTTTGTGCGGAGAGAGCTGGGTTTTGGTTCCCAAACACCTAAGGGACAAACCCTAGAGAGAGAGAGAGAGAGAGCGACTTGGGAACATTCTTGGAGCTATTTTGGAGGATTTCTTTTCCATTGGAGCTTGGGAATCAAGCTTGGAGATGGAGATTGAAGATCTAGATCAGATTTCTACAGTCTCTCTCTTCTCTATGTAGTAACTTCCCTTCACTTAGGTTTTGAGGAACCCTAGTTCCATGTGTTAGGATCTTTCTTGTATGAAGTTTTGGATGCTATATTGTTTGATTATAATCGATTGAGGCATGATTTATTGAGTCAATTGAAGCCCGATCATCTTTTCTTGATTTCTGCTTTAACCTATGATAGATAGAATCTAATTAGGTTAAGTGAGCTTCCTTGATTGATAGTGGTGAATTGGTTGTGCGAGAGTCAATCAATTCACTGCTTTGTACTGGAATTCATTCCAGTAGTGGAGATCTGTGTGAATCGCCTTAGCAGTCTATCCCGGTGAAGGCTAGTCGCCTGCCGGGTATTCTGTCTAAGAGGGCTTGGTCAGCTTAAGAGATTCCCAGCTAATTTAGGATCTTCCGCAGTTTAATCAACAGTAGATCAACCAAAGGTAATTGCAACTTGGACCTAATTGAGGAGCTAGGGGGAATCATATCTAAGTGAGTTCCCAAACTGTAATTAGTAGTTTTACTTAGTGTAGTTAGTAGAGTAGTTTAGTAATCAATCCTTAATATGATTTGCTAGATAATGAACTGAAGCTGAGTAATAGTACATCTAGAGACCCGAGGATTCGATATTTATTACTTGCACCACTATACTGCAGTCCTTTTCATTTGTTACACTTGGTCATTGTTAAGTGTTGTGTCGTAGCGTGTCAAAAGCTCAGCCACTGTTTGTGTTCAAAACTGTTCTTCTACCATTCTATTTTTTCTGGTTTTACACTGTTACATTGCATTTCTGCCGTTTGTGTGGCTGGAAATTACAAACATTGTGTATAAATTACAGTTCAAATGGATTGACTTTTTACTGATAATATATGAATGGATTTCGTGTATAAAAAAAGGCGTATCTACTAGCCAAAAGTTATGAAGTACTCGTTGGTTTGACACTCTCGATGTGAAGGTTTCGTTGACTTTAATTTCTGGTTGAGCAGTTGGAATCATGAGCTTGTGACGGCAGGAAGGCTGCGTTTGGTTGGCCAAATGGAATTTTCATTCTAAATAAATCAAGTGGCCAAATGGTATGTTGTTATTAAGGTACTAATTAGGCTCATGCTGATTTCAACAGAAAAGGAGGTTCATGTGCTGTTAGTTGGAATCGTTTGACATTTTTTCAAATGACGAATGTGCCTTAAAGAATCCTAATTAACTGCATGTGACGGACACAGAGAAACGTAGTCATGATGTACCACTTTATTTTATGTAAACACTAGGTGGCGATGTCGCGCCTAGTCGTGACCAGAGATGGCCTAAGCGCATGTATTATGTGGCCCGTTATGATGTTTTGTTAGTATTATTAGCCTAAATTAAATTTTTAGCAGTTTTGTTAGTAATATTCACTTGATAATATGATATTGACTGAAAAAATATATATGGAGGTCAACATCTAATTTAATTTTTTTTAAATTTTTGGCTAATAAATTATTTTTTACCTAAAACCAAGTCGACCCATTGATTATGGTTAGGGTATGTATGACGTATATATGCGTTTGAAAGTTTGTAAATGGGTTTGGGTAGGGTATGGATATTTAGGCTTAATTGCAAGTTTGGTCACTCGAATTGCTATAAAATTTCACGTTTGCCACTCAAAATGATTTATTCCATTTATAGTCACTCGAATTAGTTGAACAGTTCAAGTTCGGTCACTCTCCGTTAACCTCCGTTAACTTTGACTGACGTGGCGGTCAACTCTGATAGTTGACCGTTAAATGTGTGACGTGGCAAATAAAAAATAATTAAAAAATAAAAATTAAATTTTTAGAAATTACACATCATTATCACAAAAAACTATAATTATAAAAAATGAAAAAAGAAATTCCCTCAAAAAACTTAATTATTTTTTATTTGCCACGTCACACATTTAACGGTCAACTGTCAGAGTTGACCGCCACGTCAGTCAAAGTTAACGGAGGTTAATGGAGAGTGACCGAACTTGAACTGTTCAACTAATTCGAGTGACTATAAATGGAATAAATCATTTTGAGTGGCAAACGTGAAATTTTATAGCAATTCGAGTGACCAAACTTGCAATTAAGCCTGGATATTTACTTTCATAATCTAAATGTGTATGAGTTGGGTATGGATACCTATTTATTCGTGGGTGTGTAATTCAAAAGTTTATGTACCAAACTGTAATGCACCAAAATTTTAGATACTAAAATGTAATGTTCCATCAATATTTTGAGGAGTTATATGCCAAAAAATAAATTTAGGTTATAAATCTAAAGATCTATTGAGTTTAGGTACCTTACTGTAATTTGCATAGTTGAGGCTTAATTCCTTTTATGGTGATGTAATTAAAATGATAATTATTTACTTTTTCTATAGAAAATAGGAAAATATTTATTTGATATGTATAATTGTTGAAAATTCCACGTATAATTGTTAAAAATTCTAGCCCGGATGAAAAAGAAAACTCTAGAGAGAAGAAAAGAATACAAACTGAAACTCGCTTAAAATTTCAAACCTTTAAATTCCATAGTGGAAAATGATGACTTTCTTATAAGTAGTAACCATGTATACTATTTTTAATTGGACTCGACATTGAGCTAAAAAGTTAGTGGTTCAAGGTTCAATTATTAATTCTCTAGACTGTTGGTCAGTCATGTATGGACCCTGTCATACTTGTCATTAGAATACATAAAAATAGTATACTAATTAGAGTTAGACGAATAAGGCAAAGAAAGAAATAAAGAAAAGGTTATGGAAGGCGAGTGAAAAATGAAACGAAGAGGAAATAGATGATGGAAAGGTTTTGAGCAATTCTTTTAGTTGGTCGTCAATATAACAGTCAACTTTTTGCACCGTAGCCATTTATTGACACTTGCTTATATAGATTTCGCATATTTTGTTAGATGTAGTTACTAGTTAGTAGAAGTTTGTTTAGTACCCCATAAATGTACTAAATGCATGAGTTTATAAATTCGCTCCTGCGATATTTTAGAGTCGTCTCTCTTTTATCATTTCTTTACTATTTCACGCAATGAGCATATATAAAATGGTCATATCTTCTGCACAGTTGAGTGATACAACATATTGTATGATACAAACTAAATTTACTTTTACTTTATGGTGGATTGGATTCATAGATTGGTTCAATAGGATTGGTGGATCCGGATTCATGGATTCAAGTGAAATCTAAACATTGGACCAGTATGTAAATTTAAAAAATTGTAGATACGAAAATCTCATAAAATTTAAATACCAAAACATAATTGTTCAATAATTTTACACTAAAATTAAATTTGGGATATCAAAATGTAAAATGTACATTCTAATGACTAAGTTGTAATTTAATTAAATTTGGAGTATCAAAATGATATTTTTTTTAGACAACAGTAACTAAGCTTCAGTTTTATATATAATAATAATATGTAGAGATTCCCAATAGTGCCTTCAATTTAGCATAGTTATAGTGACTTGAATTTTTGACAAGTTAGAACATGTTTTCCCGGTCGTATTACATGATATAGCAGGTCATTACGTAATATTTACGTAAAGTATATATATATTTTTGTCTTACATAATAATTATAAGATGATGCTGCATAAGCCTTAGGTAATATATGGTTACTTTCATTGAGTTACGCACGTAAGGAGCAAAGCGATTACGTAAGAAAATGAGAATGCTCGAAGTACGTATAGTACAATTTCACAAAATTTTGGTAATTGATCGCCACAGATTGGTTTTTATCCGTGCACATCATGTCATCAACTAGCTTTTCACAGAATCTATCTCTTCAAATTCATCAACCACTCTGTATCGTGTGATTACTGAGTACAGGTTTAAATTATTTTTCCAAATAAGGTATTTGTCTGTCTTTTAATTAGATTGGGTTGTAATTGAATAGGTCTTGATTTGGACGAGTATATTTTCAATGCCAGAAAATAAATATCCCGTCTCACCCACTTTGTCACCTTATGTTGATTCACACTTTTAGTCAAAACATTTTTGGCACATCATAGTAAAAGAGTCTGCGAAATCAAACCAAAGCATGACTTATGGATGATTAATAATAGGGTTATAGGTATAATATGCCCTTTTACTATGACGTTTTATCAAACATGCCCTTCTACTATTTTTTACATCAAACATCCCCTCTACTGTGTAAAAATGATTAAACATGCCCTTTTGTTAAAATTTTCATCCAAAAACCATTAACCATGGCTGAACTTTGGTTTGGGAGACACAAATGTCTAAAATATCCCTAATAGTTTCACTTTAGAATTTATTTTGGTTATTTTGTATAGCCAAATAATTCAAATAATTTCACTTTGAAGAGACCTAGAGGAATAAAACGGGGGACAAAACTATCATTTTCCCTCCCATTTGCCGATGTCGGGTCGTCTAAATATCGGTTCAACCATGATTGACGATTTTTTCAATCGAAAATTTAATAGAATGGCATGTTTGATAATTTTTTCAAAGTACAGGGGCATGTTTGATGTAAAAAATAATAGAGAGGCATGTTTGATAGAACGTCATAGTAGAGGGATATATTATACTTATAACCCTTAATAATAATAATATAATTAAATAACATACCAAAACGCCAAATAAAATTACAATCACAAACAAAATAGAAAAGGAAGTAAATAACAAAAACTAATTAACTCAAGCATCAGTAAAACAAAGGTCACATAGTCGCTCGCTGCTTCTTCTTCTTCTTCTTCTATTATTTGTTACTTCCGAGTTGCTCGTTCTTTTCCAAGATATTGACATGGAAGCCATCTGGAAATGCTAGTGCGGGGTATCGAACCGGTTCCTTTCCTTTGATCACATCCCACCTGGAAAGTAATTAATCGCGATTTTCATCAAACATTTAGTACACATCAATCCATAACAAGAGTTTAATCACAGATTAATGCATTACCTATAGTTGGTGACGAGATGGTGCAAAATAATGGCCATTTGTAGCCTGAAAAAATCTGCTCCAGGACAAAGCCTACTTCCCCCTCCAAAAGCTATGAAATTCTGTGACACAGAATTCAGCTGTTGGCCCTGCAGTTGAATTTCAATATTGATCATGGTAATTCAACAAGCTAGCTAGCTAGTGATTGATTAATTAATTAATACGCGATAAATGACGTGTCAATTTAATCAATACCTGCCATCTCCATGGATTAAAGCTCAAAGGATCATCGTATACTTTAGGGTTCATATGCACTGCAGTTGGAACGACCACCACAGTCCATCCCGCTGGAATCCAGTATCCTGTAATACATTATTAATTTAATTATTATGATTGTATGTCATTATCAATGTTAATGATGATCACATGTAAAATATAAAGATATAATGAATGCTGTTTTGATGATCCCATCAAGTAATCAACTTTGGAGCTTAATTAATTACCCTTCACTTCAACATCTTTTAGTGCCTTCCTAAAAAGCACAGGCACTACATTTGTCAGTCTTATGGTTTCGTTGATTACCTGCAAATTTCAAAACCATTTGTCAGCCTTAACTATTGATTTTCTTGGTGTTAATTAACAAAACTAAGTACAAAATTTTTACCATTTGGGTAAAAGTCATGGACTTGTATTCTTTCCAGCTGATTCCACATGATTCATCACTCTCTTCCCTGCCCTTCCGAATAGCTTCATGCTCTCTCTGAGAAATAAATTAGTAAATAATGACCTTTTAATGAGCTCCAGAAAGTAAAAGCTCCAAGCTCTCAAACTAGTCATATGGTATGGTGATTGGTCAAAAAAAAAAATTACTGACAGTAAGTTCTTGGAGTGCCGTGGGATTGTTGGTCAAGTATTGAACTGCACAGACGACGGTGGAGGAAGCGTTTTCGGAAGCCGCAAAAGGAAGACCGAACAGTAAATCTACGGCCACTTTCTCGGTTACTGTTGTTCCATCCTTCCTCATTTCTTCCAGCACAAAGTCGAGGTAATCGCTTGTTCTTCCTTCCTTGTGGGAATCAGACGACACTTGTGATCTTCTTTCTTCCATTATTCTCTTGATGGTGTTCACTGCCCGCTTCCGTCCCTATATAGATAATTAACATACCGAACAGAAGAATATCGGTCAGAAGAAACCCTAATCCGTGCGAACGAAGTCGGTTTTATGTGGGGATTGTATGGTGTCCCGCCACCCGGCTGAGTGAACCTAGAGCGATCTATTGATTTTACGGTTTTTGCTACGGCTCCGTTCGATTTGGTAAAATCTCGTTCGACACTCTTTGTTCAGTGATATGTTGAGGTTAACTTGTTAGCTTGCTTGTTTAGAACACATGAGTTGGCTAGATAGTGTTTTCAGCGAGCCACCTCGACCAGCGGTTTATGAGCATATTGATTGGCATATTAAATCATTAATTTGTTCATAATTTATAGGTTGGTATAAATTATACATTTCATCATATATACTACTTTTTTACTTGGAGCAAATATTGGTCATTTATAATTATGATATACAATCAATTGTCGGTTATATATTAATAATTGTAAATAATATAATATGAGCTGGTCAAAATTTATGAACTAATATGATAGCATTACAATGTATAAATATAAGATCAATAAATGATGAAAAATTGGTTACCATTATTCTTCTATGATGAAATTTATTATATATGGCATACAAATCTGTTGGATTTTTGTGGAATTGTATGCAGGGTGACGGTTGGGTTAACCGAACCAAAAATCATTAGAAATCGAAACACGAATCAGGAAGCAAAAACTTACTCTCAAACACTTCCAGTAACAGGTGCCGGGAATGTAGAAAGGGGCGGAGAACAATCCAAAGACGAAATCATCATAACATCCTTGGAATTCCTCCACTAGCTTCGCGTCGCTCAAGCTGAACATCTTCTCAAACGCAAAGCTAAAGAACATCTGCATGCATACAAAAAAAAAAAAAAAAAAAACACAAAGATCACCACAGCTGGTAGACGTTAATTAAAATCATAATTTCTTGACCAACAAATGCATCCAGCAAATTACCGTGAAAGCCGCTTGTTTCAGTTCAACGCTAGGTTGGGCCGACCAGGAGACGAGGTGTCGGCCGACATGTGTTTCGAAGTCGTACATGAGCGATCTCATGCCGTTGTGTCCGAACTTCTCGACAACCATGTTCTTGACCTGCCTGTGCGCCGATCCCTCGAGCAGGAAGAAGCTGTCGTCGCCGACGATGTCGTTGAAGCTCTTGGTGTACGACGGCTTGAACGACACCCCTTCTTGCCTCAGCACGAACTGGTTCACCTCCGCGTCGGTCGACACGATGATCGGTCGGTTGATCAGTTTCGAACGGAACACAGGACCGTACATTTTGATTCTCTCGTCGATGAAAGGCGAGACGTCGTTGGAGGTGTAAGGGACGAAGAACTGGAGGGTCTCCCCGATGATGGGGAGACCCATCGAGCCCGGAGGGAGCTTCCCCTTGACGCTCTTCCCGGTTCGGGTGCCGAACCAGCAGTAGAGGAAAACTGAGAGGACAGCTAGCGCTAAGCTCAAATGGATTGGAGTGATATTGTTAATCATCTCCATGGTTGGGTCTGGCAAGCAAATTTGAGTGTGTTTTTCTTTTTTTCCATGTGGGCGCATTATATAGGGACCCGTCGCATCAGCAGTCGTAGTTGGAGGGCTTAGAAACCGTTTATTTATTACGGCTGTGAGAAGTTCCAAGGCGAATTTGGTTTGGTGGCCGGAAGATTGATACGTTTCCGGCGAGTCCGAGGAAGGCTCTCCATACATTTCCGGCGATAATTCTAAAGCAATGGTATGGTTCCAAATATATGAGTTAAGTCTTAAAGAGTGTATCACATATTTAAGGATAAATAAATTGCTACTAACACGTTTTTATTTGGACTTATTTTGTTATCCACATTTGGGATATTTTGTTAGGAGTTATTAGTTGGGTAGTTAGAGGGAATTATTGGATTATATATTATGTGATTGTTGGAATTTGTGGGATAAATGACTCGCACGATACTACACCACAAATTAATCCGACTAGAGTCCAAGTTTTTAAACTCTAGTCGGGTGCAGTATAAAGTAAGTATTTAAATTGTCAACCCAGGCCGGTCCATGTACCCATACTTCATCGCTTAGGTTGCTATCTAGCAAGCAATTTTTGGGTTTTGGTCTAATTGAACTACAAACTAAACAAGCAAAGGAAAGTAAATAAAGTAAAATTCTAAGTAAGAGAGCTTCACCCGGGAGTTGCTTCCCTCTAACTAGCTACCAGGACTCGTTGCATTGAATGAAGTCGTGTGGCGTAGGTGGTTGTGAACTGCGGGGTGAGCAACTAGTGATCGATTTGTCACGGGATCAATCCACTCACCAAGTCTAGGGGAACCACTAGGAGGAGCAACTAGTGATCCATTAGTCACGGGATGGATTCACTAAAGATCGATTTGTCATAGAATTGATCCTCTCACTCAGTCACTATGGGTTGCCTAGGTCTCTCCCTCAAACCGGAGTTTGACCGGCTTAATCACAACCAACCTATATGCAAATAGGAGTCAAGGGGGTGCTCATCTCTAACCTAGATAGTAGGCACAAAGTGCCCAGGAAAACCAAGCGTGTCAAGCCTACCTAAAAAGGTGTGGTTTTCCTCTAATCTAGGTTAGGCAAGCACACAAGATTTGGAAAGCACAACTAAGCACAATCACCATGAAAACACCTATAATACTCAAATTGATGAAAACCCATACAAAATCATTCAGGGATCGTTTGGACGAGGAATTGTAAAGGATCAATTTGACACAATTGTCTCGTTTTGAGACAATTGTACCAAATAGCCTCGTTTGCCAACAAAAAATTTGAATGAATCAATCTGCCTGAGGTATTTTGAATTGATTTGTTTTGAGTCAATTTCAATTACTTGGGATGGGGGCAGGTAATTCGAATTGACTCGTTTTAATTGTCTCGTTTATAAAACGAGACAATTGATCAAATTGATTCATTTCTAGATTGATCCATCCAAACGACCCCTCAATCTTAACAAGTAATTACAAAGTATTAGTTAGGGATCTACAAGACCCAAGAGAAAAGAGTGAGTTTCTATAGAGAGAGAGAGAGAGGAGAGAGGGTTTACAAATTTGAGCTCAATATCTTCTTCTTCTTCTTCTAGGCTTGAATCCTCCACCCAAGCCTCCAATGATGCCCCAAGATCACTCTAGCTCTCTCTCTCTCTCTCTCTCTCTCTCTCTCTCTCTCTCTCTCTCTCTCTCACTCACTCACTAGAACTCCCCTATGGTGTTTTTGGGCAAACCTTAGAGAGGGAATTGAATTTCTCTCCCAAAACCAGCCCCCCCTTCTCTCTCCCCTCTCATGTCTTCATATTTGCCCGAAAGCGATCAGTTCATGGATGCGTTGACCAGTTCACGGTCGTGAACACCTAAACGCGTCTGTGAACTCGGCCGTCTCCAAAACGCACCACTTTGCTTCTTGGGTTCACGGTCAATGGCCACAGTTCACGGTTTTAGAGACCGTGAACTGCCTTATCGTCAGTAACTTCAGGAACCTCGCTCGACGCCTCGATGTTCACGGTTTGTGGTCGAAGTTCACTGTCTTAGGAGACCCTGAACTGCCTCGTCCGGCCGTGAACTGCGGTTGTTTCCTGGACGCCTGCACTTCACTGTTACGGGGCAATTGTCAAGGTCTTCGGACTTTTCTTCGGTATTTTGTACTTTTCGACCTCCAATTATCCCAAAATTCGACCTCGACCCTTCCACACGTGCTAGGACCTTAAATGTATCAAAACAAGCACAACCTAGCGTGAAATATGTCGAGGAACGATGAGTTACTAAGCTAAACGAATAAGAAATGAGGGATAAAATGTAAACATTTGGACCCGAATCAATAAACAATATATAACAAAATAATTATTCGCTAAACTAATCTCTCTCTCAACGCGAAAATTCCATCTTCTCCTCTCATGTTGCCGTTGGGCGTTGGCCACCTCTCTTCCTTGGAGGCCGAAATCTTCCTTCTCATATCCATGAATCCTCTCTCATTTCCTTATCGAATTCCTAATTCTATTTCGAGTCTCAATCCTTTATCAATTCCCTAATCTACGAACCCTACACGTATACTTCATAGATCAGTAGTTCTTAAATATATAAATGCCTTAGTTTGACTGGACGGATACAACTAGGGATGGCAAATTACCCACCCATGGGTAATTATACCCAAACCCAAGTAGACCCATTGATAATGGGTTGGGTATGGATGAAGTGCATATGGATTTGGGGGTTTATAGATGGGTTTGGGTAAGGTATGAATATTGCTTCCATAATCTAAATGGGTATGGGTTGGATATATGGATATCCATTTACTTGAGGGTGTTTTAACTACACATGCAAAAATCAGACCTATTTGTAAAACTTGAATAGTTAGGTACCAAAATGTAAGACAAAAAAAAATTAGGTAGCAAAACGTAATTTTCCATCAATATTTTGAGGACTTATATGCAAAAAAATTAAATTTAGGTACTAAATATGCATATCTATTAAGTTTAGGTACCAAACTGTAATTTGTATTTGGCATGGGTACAAACCCAAATCCATTTGATATAAACCCAACTCAACCCAAAGTAAATGGGTATGGGTACAAACTACAAACCCATCAAACTCTACCCATATCCATCTATTTTGATTTCATACCCAACCCAATTGGGTTGGATAGTAAGAAACTCATGGGTAAGGGCAAAGTTGTCATCTCCGGATACAACTAACATCAATTGTTTTCGAGCTCAAGTAATTCTAAGGGTGGGGAGTTCCTCCATCAGCGCTAAGTCGCTCAAGGTAAACAAGATCGACAAACGTACGAATATAACTACGTAAGTAGCAAATTCAAATGAAAGACATACTTTTGTATCGAGAAATATCCAAGACTTTTGTTAACTGGGTAGTTGAAAAAGATTCAAGTCCGGGCAAAGAGAGAACTGATTCCCGCTTCCAGACTTTTGTTTACTGGATCCTAAAGAAACAAAATAAGGTATTTTTTTTTAAATGATTGGTTCATTAAGAATGCAATGGGTCAGACCCAAAGGAAAAGATACACAATGAACAAACAAAGGCTGGAAAAATAAGAGATACCAGGCCCATAGAAAGTCCGGAACCACAATAGGGCCCAAAGCCATGGACCAAAACCAATCCCTCAACCCCCAACCCCAGCCGCCAGTGCCCCCCTCAGGATCCTCGCCGCCATGATCGAAACCACCGTCGCCGCTCGCCGAAGCCTTGTGACGTCGCCTCTCCGAGGACACTGCCACCGTCAGTCTGGCAGAGAAAGAGGTTCCCATCAACCCGAAAGGCGGGATGTAGAAGAAATCTCTTCAACCAACCCACCTCGAGCCGATCGACCGTCCGCACCCTGTCACACAACCAAGGGGATCCCAAACAACTCGATGGAATGGCTGACGAAAGAGGAAAAGGGGAGACGATCTTCTGTCTTCGAGCTCTTCAGAATCGCATCCGACGCCAAAGGCTGCAACTCCGAACCACCAAGATCTGCAAGGTGAGAGCAAGGAGGTAGACAAAGGAATGGAGGGGAGAAGACAAGCTAGATCTAAACAAGATCAAGCCTCCTTGCATCTTAGAAGAGAAGAACATCTCTAGATCTGAATCATCAGAACAGAGGAGCAAAAATCAACCCAACTGAGGGGGAGCAGATCAACCCACAAGGGGGAAAAGACACATGCACAAACACAAGCAACAAGGGCTGGAAAAAGAAAAAGAAAAGGAAACACAGCAGGAAAAAGCAACGAGCTGGAAATGAAAAAAGTGGCGGAAGGTTGCCGCCGGTTGCCGGATAGGCGCCAACGGCAACCCCTGAACTGCCTAAAAAAGAAGACCCTTTTAGAGAGAGGTGAGAGGAAAAAAAAAGGGGAGAGAGAAACAGAAGACTTCACAAGTTTTTATATAAATAACAAAATACAGTAAGTACAATAAATTTGTGTGGGTATTATTTTGTTTTAAATGAAGGGTTTGGCTAATAAATTGTATTAACCCAAATATTAAGTTATTGATACTAGCTAGTTTGTTTATGATATAGTATCAGAGTTAGTTTGTCCTTGAAGTTATATGTTAGGTCATCATAAGTTTCAATATTAATTGTTTATGATATAGTTACAGAATTATGATATAGGTTCGCCCATTAGACGTTATAGCATACTATCATGTCCCGAATCACAGTTAATTAAAGGTCTAAATAATGAAACTTGCTAGACATACGATAAGGTTAATAGCCTGCATTAGAAGTATATTAGGTATATATGATTTTATTTTCGGTGCACAAATTTTATGGATGCATTTAATGTACTCGCCTCATAATTATCATTTTGAGCAGACGATTCATGTGAAAATGATGTCAATGTCACTTGTGGTATGATGTACAAGAAAATACATGAATTTATACAAAAATCATTCAAAATTTACTTTAATTTTAATGTTTTAGAGATTAGGGATTTAAAGGTTAGGGTTCAGGTTTATAATTTGGGATTTTGGGCTGGGATTTAAAATTAAAGTTTAAAGGATTGAAGTAATGGATTTATTAGTTGTGATTCTATATTATATCATTATATTCATCTAATGCTACCAATTAAAAGCTCAAAATTCAATATATTATAACCACTTTTAGAATGCACCAAAAAAGGCCTAAATAACACAAGAAAGCCTAAATAATTTAGCTCAAACGATGATTGAAAATGATATTCCGAAGAATACAAAAATTGACAAGGTAGTAAATATTTTTAGTTCAAACAGTGCTAAATAGATATTACTTTTCAAATAACATTACTATGATCATGTTCAACTTATTGTTACTGAAATAGACATGCATGCATTCATGCACTATATGCTTTTCTGACAAGTTTCTTACTTTGTAAAGTTTAGTCCTGTTTTTCAAGGATGGAAGGAAAATGAGGAGGGGGGATAAAATTATGAGGAGGTAAAATTTGAAATCGGGTAAATTGATAGGATTTTTTTTTTTTTGTTTTATAAGGAAAGTGAAGAAAGAAAGTATGTTACAATTTGATTTAATGGAACAAATCTTGTTCGTTTTAACTTGATTTAATATTTTCATAAAATATGGATTATCTTTGATGTTGTTTTATTTCGAATGCCACCCACTTTAATGTTCCACAAAAAAGATTTATGTATTCCGAAAAATTACGTTATGTGTGACATATATTAGTGTTGTGTTCCGTTCATGGTTACATGGTTACATAGATGACAAAAAAAAACTTGAACATCATTCAAGATATCTGTAAAACTAAGATTGGAGGTCGTAGGGACTGGTTAGAGTGCTAACTTCATTGGAGTTAGCACTGTACTAACCACTATAATCACTGTTTATTATTTTTAATTAAAATGATGTTGGAGAATAAGGAGGGGCATATTCGGTATATAAAAAAATTAATTAAATTAATAAATTAAATTTTAAAATATTTTATCTTCATTTTAGTAGTAGTCCTGAAAAATAGTACTGTAAACTACTGCTACATTCATTGGTAGTGATTTTGGTGGTTGTATTAGCAATTTTATTTGTTCTTGTAGTGAATTAATTGTAATTAGTAGTGATTTTAAATTTTAAGTTACTCATGATGGGTGAACTTTAGAAAGTAATGATAACATAATCACTACTAATACGATTAGGTAGGAGTAAACCACTACTGGAATAACTACACATCAAAGAAAAAACACTACTGTCGTACAAATATGACTGCTCAACTGCTAATACATATGAAAATCACTACTCCACAAATCACTATAAACCCAAAATCACTACTAATCAAATAATAATATAGATCTAACAAAAAGTTCTCATTTTTTCCCGGCATGCTATCCGTGACCGATTGACCGATTTAACACACCACCTTATGAAACGGAAAGATTGTGCTCGGTAACCGTTATTAAGCACCTAAGAAATAATAAATAATGAGTTTGACCTTCTTTTTCCACTAAACCTATTCCCCGTTTTTTGTATCTAAATTGTGGCGTGGTATCCAACCTTTGAGTTTTGCAGTCCTACTAACTTCAATCCAATAGTTATAATTTGGAATTTTAATTGTTCATATCATAAATAGATAAAAAAAAAAGATTTTAGAGAGCGCTGGGACTTTGAGTCTTTGACTAGATGTTTCGTTGGCGAAACTCGCGCGTTCAATGCGCTCTGTTTTCAAGGAGACAAAAACACAAAGTCAACACAATCGTCAAATATCCGTCGCCGAATGTGGGCGCCGTTGATTTGATCGATTAAAACAAAAATCAAGACGAATATCAACCGCCGGCGTCGGTGATGTTGATTTGATCGATACACCTTTGACTTCTAATAAAACAATCGTTACTCGGTTCACCACCTCTCCAAACTACGTTCGAACGAGGGTGTTCAACGAGAAACGAGAAACCAAACCGAGAGTGTTCTAAGTTACGTTACCTCTACTCCTATGGAGGTTCCTCTGGAGAGCTCCGCGACTACGACTACAACTACTACGACTCTGCAAAGAACTTCTCTCACAGAGAAGTTCTACGAACTAGAGATAAAAAAGATAAATCCTGCGACGATGCAGTTTGTGATTTGATTTTGCCGTCCCGAGCTTCTCTCTCTTCCCAATCTTTATACTTCGCGCTTCTCCTCGTCTTAGTAACTGCCTTCGCGCCTTTGTCTCCCACGTCTTCATTCCTGTCAACCGTGCAAGTAACTTCTTCCTTGTTGCATGATAATCACGTGCCCTCGAAACCACTCTTGCTTTACAGAAACTTGGCGAAACGACCTACAACCTTGTCCATGTAACGATGCCGTTTCACGAATACCACGGCATCTCCTTTCACCAACCGATGTCGTTTTATAATCCAACTCAACTGCCCCGACCCGTTTTAACCAACGACATTGTTAGTCCATCAAACAACGTCGTTCTCTACTCTTGCGCCGTCGTTGGGCTTGGCGGGCTGCCTTTGGCCGAACTCTTACCACTACCGCGATGTCGTTTTACTTTTCCGCGGCATCGCTTTTCATTAAACGTCTAAAATAATCATAAAATACTAATTAATGAAACCAGCCGTCATTGTTAACTCACTGTCAACTCTCACCCCTCGGCGTCGTTCTTAGTTAAACAACATCGTTTCCTTGTCCCGCGATGTCGTTGAACTTTTGAGCTTCGCGACACTGTTTTAATTTGAACACAGTCGTTTTAACTGTTGCGGCATCGTTTGGCATACTCGCGACATCGTTTTTAAATCCGTGGTGTCGTTTCTTTCCTCTTGCGGCATCGTTTTCGACTAAACGACACCGTCCTAAGTAGTCATTAAAATATTAATTAATTATTAATCCGGCCATCATCAGCCCACTCGTGTGTTGGCCAACGACATCATTAGCGCCAAAACGGCTCCGTTTGTTTTTCCTCTCGCGACATTGTTTTTTATTTTAAACAGTGTCGTTTGCTAGTACAGCGGTACCGTTGGGCTTACTCGCGGTACCGTCTTTTAATTAAACGACACCGCTAACATAGCCAAAAAATATCAATCCATGGAACCGCCGTCGGTACGCACTCACATTGGGCTGGGCGAATTTTGGTACCCGGTATGGTTTTTAATTAATCGGTACCGCTTATCAGGCTCTCGTGACATCGTTTTTAAATTTGCGGTACCGTTTTAACTCTCCGCGATGCCGCTTGTCTCCATGCGGTACCGATTTTCCCCTTCCGACAAGGAATAAAGGTAATCATTAATTAGAAAAAACTCCCTTCTCCAACATCCAACTACACGCGCGGCCCCCTTTTGTTTTTGGTATCGTTTCCCGTGTCGCGGCACCGCTGAGCTTTCTTGCGGTACCGTTTTTCTTTTTCGCAGTACCGTTTTAATTCTCCGCGATGCCGCTCAACTCCAAACGACACCGCTTTTTTGCCCGCGGTATCGAATTAAATGCCCAGGCAAATTAATGCGCATTTAATTCATGCCAAATTAATTTTAGGTGTCAACAAATTCCCTCCCACAAATTGGTTTATAAGAATTATGAACCAAATTGTTGACATAAAATAAATCACCTAAAATACTTTGTGAACCACACAGACCAAACCCAAAACATCCCTGTTGGCAAAATTATGTGGTTTGCCATGACAAAGTGATGGCCACGCAAACCAATTCTCCTCGGTGTTGTGTATTCCGTCCACAACACTGCATTAGCTCTGCAACGCTGCGGCTATCCTTTTTTACCAGAACGCAGTGGATTTGTCATTGTCGCAGTGCTGCAACTGCAAAGACGAAAAACAACCCTGCTAGATCCGGCCAATGTCGTGGCCAAAACAAATTAAGATAGCTGCAGCATTGCTCAACCTCCACCTTATAAGGCTGAAGTGTCTTCTATTTTTCTCTTTTTTTCCTCATTCCGCGACGCCGCAAACGCCATCACTCTACAATCATGGCGACACCAAAATCTCTACGTGTAGTTATTTCCAATGTTGTTAGAATTGAACCGGATCATGACCCGGTAATGCGAATGGTTCGTACTTTAGTGGTCCAACCGGCATTAGACCGTTTAAAAACTGTTAAAGAACCGGTACCTAATAAACGTCATCAGTATAAATAGTGGACATTTCTTAATCAGAGCTCGTCTCTTTCCTTTGAAATTGTGAAATAGAAATAAGGATTCCGTTTGAGAGCCCAACGTTTTTGGTTTATTTCAATTTTTAATTTTCTGCAATTTTTTTAATTAAATTTAACGGCTGAATGGTAAAAACCGGACGAGCGGCTCGATCGGCTCGAGCGGTTAACCGCCTCAGCCGCTCGTCAACCGCTACATAAAACCGGAGCGACTTTTAGATTGTTCCGAGCCAATTTTGTGACCGGGTAATGGTTTTACCGGTCGAGCCGAGCGGCTCGACTCGACTTTAATAACACTGCTTATTTCCCTTCCTAAGGACCACTCTGATAAAACAATATAATTCTCATA